AGGTGTAATCATCACAAGAAGCAGATGCGCCAACGCGGTCACCCACCTTTGGTCCGTCATTAGGCAAACGGCTGGGGCCCGCGGTCTCGTCCCCCATCCCGGAGGGGGGACTCCCTCCGTTCCGCCTGTTCAGAGAGAGTCAGAAATTCTGACAGTTTAAGAAAAAAACGAAAGTTGTTCAAGGCAGAATTAGGCCCGAACGCACTTCTTCTTTCTCACTTTATTATTGGGACTTGTTCTCAATCTTGCCTTAGGCAGTCTTGATGTCGGGAAAGCAACCACGTTAACACGACTTATAAAGTGTTTTAGAACAGTGAAACAGCAGCCAGGCGTCACACAATGCGAATGGTGTAACGAGTGGGCCGTCCGACGCTCCAACTCATTACAAAAGCTTCTTCTTGATCACCTATCAACTGTGACACATAACCACTTCCGGCATAATTTCTCATCGTCGTCAGACTGCATGAGCAAACGGCACAAAATTTCTTTCAAGTGTTTACCGGATACCAGGCTTCTAAGAAAAATGAAAAAAATTGCTGGTCTAAGAAGCGAAGGATGGTCTACTATACCGATAAATTATAATTATTAATGCCATAGTGGGTACCCAGCAAGAGTGCTTGTAGCAGTGGAGAAAAGGCTCTTAAAGGCCGCTCTGACTGTGCTGCGCCCTCCACGCAGGTCTGCGTACTATTTATTGACATTCACATCACAATCAAGTTTAAGAGCAGCTAAATACATTGATGGAATCATTTCACTTATTCTCATTAGTATTAGGTTTACCAGAAAACAATACTAGCCCTTGAGTTTACACTTCTTTCCTGCATGGGTTACAGTACACGTGAATATGAAATGCATCAACCTCTCCTTCCTCCTCTGATTCTTCCACATACTCATACATCTTCTTATTCCTCTCCTTTTTTCCTTCATAGTGGTGTAGTGGGCAAGAAATTCGGCTGGTGATTCATTAGTCGCAGAACCGATCCAGGCTGTGGCGGGCGCATTTTGGATTAATGCGAGAATGTTTGAGATCTATGTGCTTAATTTTAGTGCACGCTAAAAAAATAAAACTGGTGGTTGAAACTTTAAGAGCCCTGCACAACGGCACCTCTCATAATCGTATGGTTGTTTTGAGAGCATTAACCACAACAATTGGTATCATCTTCTGCATTTCCTCGCCTTCCTACAGTGTACTAAATAAGGCAACCTTAAGCTCTAGCCTTCCTCTCATCCACATAATACTTCCTTTCATTTTTACTCCCTATACCACCCTTGTTATTCTTCAATATACATAGCTATGCTGTGCCTTGCTGTTCTATATAATATTTTGGCATGCGTAGCACCAGACGTCACAATGCGATGCTTTACCATCTCTCCACCTGCATAACGCCTTGTCTATCTTCAGTTACCATGCTCACAATTTTACTATATCATGATATATTCGCCTAAGCTGTAGAAATTTCGCGTGCATGACACCACATTTTCCTCTGCGTTGTTTTATCTCTCCCTTCTTCCACTGCTTCATCCTGGCTCTCACGTCCATTCCCAGCACAACACGACCCTGTACATGACTGTCCATCACATGATTTTAGCATATATGCGTATTCTATTTCTGCCCTACCCTTTCCACCTTTCACTTCTCCTCAGCTTTCCCGTGCTCTTGCTATACGTTATTGTACGTGGCTATGCTATACTGTCCAAGCTGTGTGTTCCGATTTGGGTGCACGTTAAAAAACCCCAGGTGGTCGATATTTCCGGAGTCCTCCAATACGGCGTCTCTGATAGTCATATAGTGGTATTATGACGTTAAATCCTACATATCAATCAATGTCTAAGGTTTGCAATGTTTCGCTTGCGTGACGCCAAGTGGTGAGAGAAAATGATATCATGCGATTGCATAAAACAGCCCGGGCCCGCGAAGTGATGCATGCTCAAAAACCAATGGGTGTCCCCTTTTGGCGTTTCTGCGGAAAAAGTTGAAGGGGACAGCCTATGGGCTGTTTGGTATATCAATTGTGTATATCTAAGCATTCAGGAAAATCAACAGTTTCTATGGTTTGACGTAGACAGGGGCCCCATCGTGACGTTGGGGAGGTAAAGCAAGTGTTGTTGGCGTTAGAGAACATTTGCAAGATGCGCACAACACCCGAAGTGCCATGCGGCAAAGACTATATTACAGGCGAAGCTCATTAAGGAGTGCGCTGATGGTCCGGTCGTAATCGTTTGTAGCCACCTCTCGTTATTTCTTGAACCAGCCGTAGAGGGCGGTACTTTTACATGCAACGAAATGCACATGTGCTGAAAATTTCAAATGGTACGATAATAGAGGACGTTACTTGTACTATGATAAATAAAAAAATCACAGCTTAACCATGGAGTGAATAATGATAACGTCCTCGCTTCCGTCCGTCCCTTCAGTCTTGTTTCCGTCTATCCGTTCGTCTGTCTGGCAGTCCGTGCGTCCGTCCGGTTATCCGTGCGTCCGTCCATTCATGCATCTGCCCGTCCGTTCATGCGGCCGTTCATTCGTTCTCTCGTGCGTCCGTTCTTGCGTTCTTCGATGCATCCGTCCCTGCGTCAAACAGACAGACAGACAGACAGACAGACAGACAGACGCCACCAGCGTATGATTCACGATTTTCCGATTAAACCCTCCGAAGCTTCACTCCACTCATCATCATTTACTCTACAAATATGCTGTAATTTTCTTCGCCCCCCCCCTTTTTTTCCTTTGTTAGCAGCTCTAATAATCGTATTGGATTCTTACGCCAGAAATGATTTTTTAAGCGGATCGTCTTTCTTGGCGACTTTCGACGCAAAAGTTTTTGGTCTTTCTGTCTGTCTGTCTGTCTGTTTGTCTGTCTGTATGTCTGTAGATTTGTCTGTTTGTCCACCCTTAACGGTAATATGAACGGCACCAAAGGGACCAAACAATACTCCGAATGGCCGACCCTATCCTCAGCGCCCACCAATATTGCTCAAGGTTAAGCGTTCGTACTTGTGCGATTGTCATTCAAAAAGCAATTATTGCGCATATTTGATGCACCATAACAACACGTCAATAATATGTATGCGAAAGTTCAACTAGAAAAGCCAGTGTTAGGTAATTTTAAGGATTGTAGCCTTTAAAACGCTTTGTTGGCCATGCAACGCTTGCACAAAATGGCAAGTGTTTCGAACGCTTTGCTAAGACGACGTTGTAGTGGCACCTACCCATCGCCATGCGCGCCCGTCCGGTGTGCGCCCCGTTTTCCAGAATAGCTGCCAGATAGCGCTGAATTCTCACGTGTGACGGGACTTGATGCGCTAGTTCGCTTTCGCTGCACGCTCGAGGCACTTTAACGCAGTGCTTCCAGAATATCAATCACCAATTTTCTTACGCAGAACATTAAATAAACGTTTTTTTCACTCTCTCCAGACGCAAAGCTATCTTCTTTCGATGACACTTGCGGTGTAACATGCGGATACGGGGCCAAATTTTTTTTAGGGGAACACACTCAAAGCACCTACATCGTTTATTTCTTCACCTTTAACAGGTCTCCCTATTGTAAGGAGCGCCTTACGTCACCGAAGCTTGACCGGACGTAGAATTAGGCACTGCCCCACTGTGTGGTGCTAGATTCATTTGACATTGAGCCATGCGTTTGGAACTGACGCAAAATATTCCCAAAGCAACAAAGATAGTACTACATATACAATACGCTAAAATATTTGGGAAAAACTTTTAGCATTACCAGATGCAAAGCTGCAAGTTAGTGTTAAACTGTCACAAAGAAAACTTTAGGCAAGGCATTGTGCCTGTCTGCGGGCCGGTTATGTGCGTTATTTCCTTCGTAATGCCATGAAACACCAATATAGCAATCGCTCCAGGATCTGTGCATTACAGGACACCATATCAGTTGCCTATCAGGAAGGCTAAAGATAATTGCTAATCATGCGGCTCTCATTGTACTACCTGGCGGACTGCTGCAGTCATCTGTGAATTGCGTTGATAAATGAGGGCGTTTTTCTCCATTTGATATTGTCGGGCAGGCTCACGAATCACGATATTGTGCTTCGAATGACCACCCCTGTTGGCAGGGCACATGATGTGAACTACATAAGAAGTTTTTCTGGCTACACCATCAGCTCAGGACGGAAGGAGCCCAATAGCGCATCTCAAGAGAAATAGGTGAGAAATATTATAACATTTTTCAGTGTATATTTCTTGTATGATTTTTTTCACATTTCGACTTCAATAGCAAGGCCGCTATAAGAAACAAAAAATTCACACTTAATGGAAGTAAGTGACAATTGTGGATTGTTTTCAGTAAATATAGTATTCTTATAAAAAAATAAAATATGTCTTTATAAGTCCTAAGATGAATCGAAGCGGTCTGTAGTACTCCACTGAAAAACATCATGGCTGCATGTGATTCTACTTTAAACGAATGGCTTCATGTCACCTATACGAGTAATACTAAGCATTGGCAACACAGCTTTGCAATGCATATTATACGTCCCAAGTGAGGAAAACTTCGTCAAAGGAAAATGCTTACAATATGAAATACTGTATGCACACATTTTTTCTATATATACATATATTTTTTATTTCACTAGAAATTCAGAGAAATAGTATTGCCATTATACAACATTTGCCTTTCGTACACAAAGTTCAAACGTATATATAATGTATTCCTATTGTCTAACTGCAATCGGTCTTTTTTTTTTCTTTCACAGACATGAAGAATATTATTGTAACAGCTTGTTTATTTGGTGTCCTGGCTGGATTAGGTATGTTATTTTGCCACGTACGTAGTATTTTCAGTATTGCTCATTGAGCTGTAGTCACGTGGAGTAATGATATTACGAATAAATTGGTATTTTTTTACTATACAGATGCGCACACGACATCGAATCTAGAAAGTGTTGTATGCAATTGATGCCTGATTTATTTGTGATAACTGCGTCTTGTTAAAATTTTGTGACTTTCCATTATTAGAGAGTTGTTTTTGTCTTGAAATGTGACATAATTTTATTTCTATTGCAGCGGCAGCTTCCATCCTTCCAGAGGATCAAATTGATCTTACCGACACCTTAGAGACCACATCGGAGGATCTAGCAGAGGAAGCAATTGCGCTTGGTCAGATCCTACGCGATGTGGCAGCTGATATGGCGCAAGATAGAACGCTTGACGTAGAGGTAAGAAAGCTGAGATTATTCACAAGTAAAATCACCAGTAGCAAATGTTGGTCCCAATTGGTACGTGATACTGGTCCTGTACAGAGCATCTATTTTACCATGGCAGGCAGGAAGCAAATCTATCCATAGTTTAAATATACCCATGACCTATATTTTTCTTTCATCAAAAAAGCGCCTTTGTTCTAAACAACCATCGAGACTTTATTGAACCATTAGTTGTTGAGTATATCCGCACAACGCAGACAAGCACCGGCTAACGCCGAAATTAGGAAGTGATACGTTAGCACACAATAGGAACAGTCACTGATGCCCGGAATCATTAGGTATAAAGCTGCCTGAGAAGAACACAATATGATGTAAAGAATAAAAAGATCCAAATATTTTATTATACAAAACTAATGAGCATATTTGTTCCGTGAGTGCTACGCAACCTTCGTTCAATTTGATGGAATTGCAGTTCGTACATGTCACTTCTCGTGCAATCGTACTTTTTCATCACAAGCTGTAATGGAAAACTACTCCTGTTATGCTAAATTTATTTAAACTGTAATGAATCTCAATTACCTGCTATGCTATTTTCATTGAAACTGTAATGAATCTCAATTACTTGCAAATACAGAGTACTTCCTTCTCAAATGGCTTATAGTACAGCTAATATAGATTCATAAGCGACCAGGAAGGTAAAGTACAGTTAGTAGTTCAGATTGTTTTGTTTCATCCTTATTGCCATCAAATATAGATATGCTAACTGTAGGCATCAAGAAGTAGGAAGATTGCAGACTAAATGTATGCTATGATCAATCAGATTTTGGGACGCTCTGGAAGGTACTCAGAAGCTTTGTAAGCCATGGTTTATGACGCCTTGCGGTGAATGGTCAGTTTTTTGGCCGCTAATGTGTGCTAGAATTGTCATTGAGTGTGACTGACCAACGTTGTGCTTTTCTTTGCAATGAAATACGCTTTTATTACACATATTTACGAAGCAAATAAAATTTAGGTGAAACTTACGCTGCATACATGCGTCGTAAAGAGGTTACGAGAAGGAGCGTGTGAATGATCGAGTAGTGCGAACGCTTTTCTACCTTCATTGCTTTGAGTGCTCCAACAATTATAGAAATAACGAGCCTATATCGGGTCGTTGAAAGGGCTGTGAATGGAATGGCATACAGTGCACGGCAAAATAATGAAAAACGGTGTAATAAGAGCTGCACGTAATGTGGGACGTGTACATCTTAGATAATACAACAGTCTTCGCTTATTACTCCAAGTAGACCTGCCAAAATTTCAACGTATTTTACTGACCTGATTAGAAAAGTATTTCTTCTTGAAGCTGTGGTAGCTTCTGCGCCCTAATACCGTATGTGAGGTAGAAGCTTCAAGCATGAAATGTCAAATGGGACAGCAGTTTGCTCAATACATTGCTGCTTAAGTGTGCAACGTGCGAGTTTTCGGATTATTGATTTTGCTACCAGCTTGTGCTGCTTCACAGTTCTTTAGAGCGCCCCGAAACTCTTCCAAGTTCAGAGACGAGAGTCCATTTATACTCGTTTTCGATAGTCATCCTAGGTGCTGTTTTCTCTTCACCACCTAGTTTTTCATAGCACATGTGGACAAGTTCAGCAGTACGTGTTAAAAATATCAGGATAAGGCGCCTTTCGGCTACCCGTCGTTATCTTAACGCTTGCGCAGTTGAAACAAACGAAACGAACTGAAAAAGCTTATCGCGCGTCGTAATAATCGGAAAACAAGTCATAAGTTGGGTGAATGCATAGCAAAGCAGGGTAATAGATAATCCACATTTATTATCTCTCAGAAAGGCTGCTTCTTGGGCTAATTGGTGCTTGCTGAAAATCATAATGTGGTGCAAAAAGGCGCAACTAATTGTCATCAACATTTCAATGAGGTGGAAAAGGCGTTTGTGGTGTGTGGTTCCGTGCGTGCGTTGTGTCTTTTTTGAGCTACATTACGGTTTCCACGATTCATATGGTTCGTATAGGCACCGATAAAGAGCTTATTTCTTCATAACGCCAGGTCAGCAAACACCGCGAGGTAATAGCACGCTCGTTCCTTCCACTTCGAAATGTTGTTCGAAGAACTTTTTCAGCCACATTGCCATGATTATCAACTCTGACACATCCTTGTTATTTTGCAGGAAGAAGAATATTCCTTTCGTAGCTTTTGGGAAAAATTCAAGGCATCAATGAAAAAGGCAGGAAAGAAAATGAAGGTGGCGTTCAAGACCATAGGGAAAGAACTTAAAGAACCTGTCAAGGTCGTCGCCAAAGCCGCTGCAAAAGTGGCTCTTGAGAAAGCACAAGAAATACTTAAGAAGAAGGCTGTGACGTTGGTTGCAAAAATTTTTGAGAAATCAATTCCTGCCTACGCTGTTGAAGACAATGTTAATGAGGCAGACTTCTTCGAACAAATGCGTGTCCGAATAGACCAAGTAGGACAGAGACTCATCAAACAAGGTCGAGCATTGAAACGTTTGTGAAAAAAAACGTGTTTTGCTACCCACCTACTATAGCCCACTTTTCAATTCCTAGAAAAAAGGTTATGATGCCTGTAGGTCGTCATGAGGTGTCTTTTGTAGTTGTGTTGTGCGTTTAATCGCGTCCTTATATTACATAATTGAGCCAAGCATGACTGAGTTGGAAACGAACGCCGCTAGTAGCTGTATGCACCCACGTTTGCATCGCATGGCGAGATCTGTTGCGCGTCTCATCATGATCATGCTAGCAACGGTGCCACAATGGACCGTGGAAGAGTTACTCCTAACGTTGGCCACATATATGACAATTTGTGTTTTTTGGTGGACTTAAAGCTTGCCTCATCATCGTGAATTTTACAGTATATCACCCATTGTACATCAGTATGTAGGCAGCAATAGCATACCAGCACCTTTTAAAATATTGTGCCCTCCTTTATTAAGAGTCGTGCTGCGTCATGTGTCATCTTCAGAGTCAAGACTCGCTGTCGTATTGTGCCATAGTTGTTTCCCACCAGGCTTTTTCCGAACAATAAGGTTAATATAATGACTTACGACAAATCACACAGCATATTCAAAAATGAAACAGTCAAAATAGACCAAGGACTACTTTTCTGATTAGTTGTTGTTGCTAACACAATTCAGTGGAAGAAGACATGGGGAGAAATGCCAGAAGATTTTACAAGCACTCAAGTCATCATGGCTGAAATGCAAATGAAAATTTTTAACGTAAAAAAACCCACCTAATCAGGGACAACAGTTTCAATCATCGGATAACACAATAGGGTGTGGTAAATGAGGTGCTTCAATTAATTTTGTTAATATTGTTTTATTGTATATCTCCTAGACATCATCTCTTTTACACGTGGTATCAATTGTGTATGACCTAAGTTGAACTCTTATCACTCACATATGATGACTGTCACACCGGTCCCGTTAATTAGGGAGGCGATCGCCGGGCTAATTCCAAGGGCCGAAGTATCGGCCCCCCGAACCGCACCACGAAAGCCTGGACAATTTAGAAGTGGTCCTTTTTGGCGCGCCAGCGGACGCCGGCTGTGGCCCAAAGAACAAGGCAGAGCCGAGAGTTGATAAACAAACAAATTATATTCTCAATAATGGCAGATCGAAAACAATACACAAAAATGCACACTCCACAATAGTTGCATACAATCTGTCACCAATCAAACCAATCAATCAACGTACTACACAATACAATCAGCCACACTTGAAACAACAGACACGGACAACAATACGCACTACAATGCAGTCGCATGCATTGAACAACCAAGACACTTAAGGACTAAAGAGATAGAAAACCTATTCAGTCCAAAGTCCTTGGAACAAAAGTCTGAATGATACTCTTCCGAGAATCACTCACTCAAAGTCCAGCGTTGTTGTCGTTCCGCAGCCCTCGAAGTTTCTCTTCCAGGAAACCGCCCGTCTTCAATTGGCCACTCTTCAAACTTCAACTTCTTCGCCGGAACACGTCGGCTTGACACCCGCAGCTGTTGCCACGCGTCTTCGCTCGATAGCGGTAAACACACGCTCTTGCCTGTAGCTCGAGCCTTCACCCCTCAGGTGGAAATCCTCTTCATCTCCTGCTTCGTCACTACGGGCTAAACCTTCGCCGACAACACGGCGGAATCCCTACGCGCTCTGGCGTTAACTTCCGTCTCCTCCTGATCTTTCATCTCGGCTGCTCGGTTAAATACCTTGCGCGCGACATTCCAGACGGTTCTCGTCATTTCGTCGGCGCGATACGCAGCGAAAGCTGGGGAGAGGCGCGAGACGGTTCGACTGCCCTCCCCGGAGGATGATTCAACTCGGTATGACCACGCCCCTTTCGTTCTGGAAATTTCTAGCGCTTGCCCGGCCGCCGCTGTGGGGTGAGGAGGTTCATCGGCGACGCCATGCTTCCTAGAGGAGAGGCGTCGCGCGCCCGGGGAGCCTTGGATGCTTGTTTTCTCTTTTCTCTCTTTTTTTTTTTGTTAACCTCGCCGCGTCTCTCGGGCGCGTTATCGCAAGAATTTGGCGGCGCGCCCGTTTTTAGCGCTCGTTTTGTGACAATGACCTATAAAAGGCTTTCGCACTGCACTGCAGCTACCTATAGTCTTGGAGTGTGCTAATGATTCGCATCATGGACGACAGCCAAAATCCGCCTGCTAATACAATGCTCTTCCCAACGTTCTTTCAGCCTTACCATCTTGGCGTGCCAGCTCACGTAGAAAGTATTAGCGCGGAAGTAGAAAGTATTAGCGCGGAAGAAAGTATTAGCGCGGAAGCACGTAGAAAGTATTAGCTCAATTACGCAACTCGTAAGCTATAGTAGGGCAGGAGTGCTTGCGTTTACGTGATATTCTTAAACCAGCGTTCACATCAAGAAGTTAAAGGCGCATTTTGGATACTGCAGCCTTCATAGCTCACTTTTTCCCGGAAAAGCTTAGACTACACACTACGCACGTAAACAATCACATAACATCAATGAATTTTGAGGTATCTGTAACTTCTCTCATTGACAGTGTAGCCATGGTGGGGTCAGCACCTCACCTCAGCAATGAAATGTGTTTTCAAAGAAAGTATATTGGTGTTCAATAACAATTCACTGGTTACTTATTCCGTATGTTACAAATAAAAAGAGAAGAAGGAGCGGTGGGCACGAGCACGAGCCAGAGGTGCTGGCTCACTAAGTTGATCCCTTTACCTTCAACGCAGTCAGACGATGGGGTCTGGGCCCCCTTCTTCGTTCCTCACACTTCGTTCTGGTGCCAAAACCCAACCGGTCGTCTGGCTTTCGACTTCAACAATGGATCAACTTTGAGTACAGCGTGCCTTCTACTGGACAGCCATCATAAAGGACATTTTGATGCTCGACGCCCTTCTAGCCGACTCAACGACCCCGCTTGCAGGCTACGTGAACTTTTCGCAATTATCATTGCGAAACACGCCCACCTAATAAACCTCGACAGAAAAATCTAGGCTTACCTTCACTACGAAGACTTGGGAGCGCATCCGATCACAGCCACCGACTTTGAGGACTAAGTCGTTCGCGCTCAAGGCAGAGCTCGCCCCGCAACCAAGTCATGGCCGCCAACCCAACCGGCATCTGTTGCCATCAAACCACTGCATTCCATAAAAATCTCGCACTCAGATCGACCCCGCCACGACGTTGCCTTCGATCAGCCTCCTGAACCCTCTCGCCTCAACGTCGGAGCAGGTTGCAACATCGCCTTCCACCGGCTTCTCTATTCCTCTCGCTTACTGAGCCGTGACCTCACCTTCGACCACCCTCACGGCTTCTCTCACCTCCTCGTCGCCCCAGGCTGCGACTTCGCTTTCGACGGGCCTCACGACTTCAACGCAAACTACAACTCCAACGAGTTTCGGGTACACGCTGAAAAACCATCGCTTTCCACGCAATACACGGCGCTTCACGGCAAGGACTTGTGAGCAAGGTATGCTGTAGAGGACTCAATCGCCAAGAAAAACCCCGGATGCACCATGCGCAAAGACTACAAAGACCCGATTTCGCACCGCCTGAACCACAGCTTGTGAAAGCAGTCTCACTTCCCAGATCAAGAGGGTGAACGCAATAACTATTCGTCACACGGCACAATGAACTTCGAGTACATGGCTTGTGAACAACACGCGGAGCCCTACTTCTCCTCCTACACATGCCTGAGACCTGGTCCTCGTGGTAGGCTGTCTAGTTCGTCTCCCCTGAAGCCCAAGGAAGCCGACGACAGGGAGTGCGAGCGGAAGCGCTGCTACGAGCCACACTCAACCAGGTTCATGGACCCATGACCATCTACGATGCCACCGAACATCACAAGAAGATGGCACCTGATGCCAGAGACCTGTACTGCGTGTACGAGCGCCAAACCGCACAGCTCCAGCACTGCGCCACGCACCTCATGCAGGAAACCGGCGCAAATGAGGGCTTTCGTCAAGCGGGACACACACTGATCGAGAAGTCATCGGGAGACTGCCACAGCGATGTCTCCAAAAACTCCATCTTGACTCAAACTTGTGTACCTGAAATTGTCGGCTCGATGTGCGCCAACGTTCGCGATGCCGGGACGGACGCCGACAATCCGCTACCAGCCACAGAGCACGTAGACGAATATCCACCACCTCCGAACGCGGCCAAGATTCCCTACCATGGCGACGTCACTGCCTGATGGAACCAAAATCACTTGGCATCGTCGTTCTTCTCATCAAACAAAAAGTAACCGTCATCAACCTTGCATTCTTCATTCAGATCAGAAGCACCTGCGAGCCAGGCACACGATCATGACCACGTGACTCCCGAAGTGAGCAAGCGGAGCATACTGGCACAGCACCTGCAGAGGCTTCACATCAAACGTCAACAACCCATGGACAACGCTGCTTACCAGGAAGTCTTCGGAGTCTACAAAAGCAGACGAAAGTCAGACTCATCCTATTACAAGAAGTGACGGAAGAAACGCAAAAGCCATTAGCGTGAGTCTTGGCATCGTGTCGACGCCATCAGCAGCGCCAAGCAGAGAAGCAAGCGCACCGGATTTCGAGACGGAACATTAGGGATAGCAAATAACGCCACCACGAAGTCATCAAAATACTACAGCTTGAATGGATGGCTTCCCCGCAAAACAAGCCACCGCCTCTCAAAGTTTTATCACCGTCGCCAAAGCTCTTCATCATCTCTGTTTAACACCTCCTGGCAGACTCACTCAAAGCTATTTTTTTAAACGGGCGCTCAATTGCCCGCCGCGGGAGTTTGTTAGAAATAAATAAAAAAGAAAAGGTAGTAGGCACGCGCACGAGCCTGTAGCGCTGGCTCGCTCAGTCGATCCCTTGACCTTCAACGCAGCCAGACGATCGGGTCTGGGTCCCCTTCGTTTCTCACAGCAGTTACTTTTGCACCTCGGTGGGAATGTTTATTTTCCACATTTATCTTTAGGGATGAATTGAATACGAACGAAATAACATCAAGTTGAATGAACGTTGAGAATTACTATAGCAGTTGCATAGCTGCTTCTGAAAA